CATGCAGCACCCCATATGGTCCCTCAAGCCCTTCCAGCAGTCAGTCCTGACTCTCGTTGGGTGTGACCCCAAAACCAAAATAACAATTCAGTTGGTGAGGTGCTTGCCTTGTATGCAGTCGACCCACATTCAATCTCTAGCACCATATAAGGTTCCCCAAACCAGAGCCAGAGATAGCACAGTGGAGAGGACACTTGCCTTGCACGCAGCTGACCCTGGTTCGATCCCCGGCATCCTCTACGGTTTCCCAAGCACCTCCAGGAGGGATTCCTGAGTGCAGAGCCAGGTGTCCCTCCCCCCACAAAAAAGGAGGAAACCCCGCGAGGAATGATTCCTGAGTATAGAGCCAGGAGTGAGCACTGCCAGGTATGGCCCCGAAACAAAACAAAATCATTACTAAACTGTCCTGTGGCAGGACCCACTCCACTGGTTTAATGCATATAGGTGCAGGAGTAGCCCCTCGCACCGCCAGGTGTGGACCCTCCACCCAGCCCCCCAAAAAGACATAGAATGCATGATAGTTTGCTTTATAAATTAATAGCACATAACAATCTATACAAGTGCACCATTAATACTGTTGTACATTTCTGTAATATTGGATGTTTTAACTAAAACAAATTTAGTGTGGTAGTGGTAACAGGGAACCCTTTCTTTTCTAAAACTACAAAAGAAAAAAAAAAGACCAGAAACTTTTAACAGTAGTTTCTGCCTCTAGCTCACACACGGACCAGTGCTGGTGTAATTTCCTCCTGGTCCAAGAAAGTGCTGTTTACCACATCTGGATAAAAGTTCCATCTTATAGTAAGATTTAGGACTAGAGAAGCTCGAATAATAAGTACATGCTTTGCAGGAGGCCTGGGTTTGATCCTTGGCATCACATGAGCACCATGCCAGGAGTAGCCCCTGAGCACCACTGGGTATGGTTCCAAAACAACAAAAAAATCAGCTTTCAGGAACTGAAGCAACAGCACAGCGGGGAGAGCGTTTTCCTTGCACGCGGCCAACCTGGGTCGATTCCCAGCATCCTATATGATTCCCTGGGCACTGCCAGGGGTAATTACTGAGTGCAGAGCCAGGAGTAACACCTGAGCATCGCCGGGTGTGACCCAAAAAGCGGAAAAAAAAAAATCAGCTTTCAAAATACTAGGCCAGGATGTGAGGGTGATCCGGCTGCAACATCTGTCACCCCTTTGATCACCAGGGTTGATTCGGCTGATCGGGCTGGCTAGGCAGGTGTCCCCTTCCTCCCTCACCGCCCTGTGTGCGTCCCTCCTGAAGCTTCATGCTCGTCAAAGAGGATCGCCTCCCCTGAAGAGAGATGAACCGGTCCTCGCTCCCTGCTAGAACCCAAACAAGCTCTCAAAATACCAGGCAGGAAGGTGGATCCGTGGTAGTGTCTGCCTTGCATGCCTTGCATGTGTGGGACCTTGCGTGTGACGCACCCCCCGCGCCCCCCCCCACACACACAAAAGAAAACAAAACTAATACCAAAATACGATTTGTTTCGTTTTGGGGAATGTTAGGTCGGCCGGGTGCAAGGCAAATGCCAGCACACAACAGGAGAGAAATGGCAGTCCCCGAGGGGAGGAGAAAGGCCGCTGCCTCTGCCCTGCAGGGTCTCTGCTGGGTCCACAGGGTCCCTGGCTGGGCTGGAGAGTGCAGGGGTCAAGCGCTCGCCTTGTGCACGGCAGAGCCCCATTCACGCCCAGCACTGCCTCACCAGGAGTGACTCCTGAGCAGACTCAGGGTAGCTCGGGAGCACCACAGACCCGAGACTGGCCGCGGCAGATTCACAGGGAGCAAACAAGGACATCAGCAGGTGCATCACGCAGATGCCTGTGGAGCAACCTGCAGGGAAGCCAGAGTGGAGGCAGGAAGCTGAGCAGAGCCGCTGCAGCCTAGAGCCACCGATCCATGGGGACGGGAAGGCCGAGGGATGCTGTTGTGGGACAAGGAGCTAGACGTGGGAGAGGCAAGTGGAGGGACAGTGGCCAGAAGCTTCTGGGCCTGGGGCCGGGTGCACTGTGAGGGTGCACGGGGTTGAAGTGTGGAGGGCTCTGCCCTGTTCCGTGAACGTGACTTCCCTGGTCGTGCACTTCTCATTTGACTCGTCCCCAGGAGCCACGGGCTCAGAGGCCAGGGGTGCATCTGAGTTGAGTCCCTTATTCCAGTGGACAGTCGGAGATGCCAACTGCAGGTGTCATGTTTGGGTGGCTCTTCCCTGCAACTCCACCTCCCCGCCAGCTTCCTGGGCGGGGCTGCCTGCCTGCTCACCGTCTCCTCTCCCTGCAGCACGGCGACTGCATGTTCAGCCAGGTCCTCACCCTGGACCTCTCTCAGTACCCGGACACGGAAGGCCGGGAGAGCCGGGAGAGCGGCAGGAGACAGCGCCAGTCCCGTTAGAACGAGGAGGGCCACGTGCAGCTCTGCAGCCTGGAGCCACCCGAGGGCGAGCTGCACGTTCCCAGCACAGAAGCTTCACTTCTGCTCCGGCATGGCCGTCCCTGTACCAGGAGGAGGGTTCGCTTTGGGTTTTTTTCAAAAGAAATTTTTGTACCACATTTTTAACTTCCATCTGAGATCTAGTCAGGAAAGATTTTGAATCACATCATCTTCAGACTGGTCCTGTTTTACATTTGATCTTTAAGAGATTTCTAAGGTGTTGAAGCCAGGGTTTAAGTTACATTGTTTCAGCAGAACAGTGACAATATTGAAAATGTTAATAAAGAATTAAAAGTCTAACATCAGCTGCCTCCACAGAAGAAAAAAACGTAAAATGAAATTTAATTCTACTTCAGCGGTCTCTCTAAATAGGATTTTTGACAAAAGAAATGCGAAAGAACAGACTCTCCAGGTAACCGCAGTGCCTGAGTAGAGGGCATGGAACTCGCCGAGGTGCTGCGGTGACACAGTGGCCACTAGGGCAAGCTTTGGGCCCAAGTGCTGACCCGGGAGTAGATGCTAGAAGCATGGACTCCCGTGACCCCCCGGAGTGCTCAGATACCCATTTGCTTCCCCATCACCCCACAACTCACTCAGTACAGTTTGTCCTTCCTGCTGACCATCCCCCCCAGAGATAGATCGTAAGTGTCCCCAGTGCCCCAGGAGTTTGGTGGAAAGACTTCCATGGGGACAGATCTATTTACACAGAGACCCACATTCCTGAGATCCCAAACTAGGCAAAAGCCCAGCTGAAGACCAGGGTCAAAACTGAGGGCTCACGGCCCAACCTGACAAAAGAACGGCCAGTTTTGCATAACAGCTAAATGCACGTGCTCATGGCTGGGGCACCCTGAGGCCAGCAATGAGCAGGTGCCCAGAGTGCTGGGGTGGAAAGCGGCTGTGGTCAGCGGGAAAAGAGACCGGCAGGCGGCAGGAGCCCTGTACAGCTCTGTCCTGCAGGGGGCAGTCGGCTGCTGTCTGGGAGCAAGTCCACAGCCTCCAAGGGCTCAGCAGGCCAAGTAGGCCGTTGTGCTGATACCTGCTGTAATTTTTTCACTCATGTAACCACTTAAAAATGTGGACTTTGGGGCTGGAGCAATAGCACGGCGGATAGGACATTTGCCTTGCACACGGCCGACCCGGGTTCAATTTGCAGCATCCCATAGGGTCCCCCAAGCACCGCCAGGAGTGATTCCTGAGTGCAGAGCCAGGAGGAATCCCTGAGCATCGCCGGGTGTGACCCCAAAAGGGGGAAAAAGAAAAGTGGACGTTTCCAGGTTGACCATAAATTAGACCTGTATCTCTGACCTATGTTTATCACAGACAAAATTAAGTCTAAGCAAATGTGACATACTTGTGCAGCTGCCTGCTAATTCACCCATCAGGTGCATTTACCTTTTTTAAATAACCATTAACTGAATAAATTCAGTCCCTTCAGCAGAAGTCTCTGCCCCTTCCTAGGCACGCAGAGCTTGTCCTGGACTGTAGCACAGTCTGTGATAATGCTGTCTGTCCTGCAGGGCCTGGAGAGTGCAGTTGGGAAGGCGCTTGCCTTGCCCATACCCAACCGGGATTCAGTTCCTGGCACCACATACATGGTACCCAGAAAACTGCCAGGAGTGAACCCTGAGCATCACCGGGTGTGACCAGAAACTTGTAATAGCTATCCTGTATCTGGTGACATGCAATTCAGATCTCTACCTATGACTGCACTACGTGAATGCCTCTTTAAAAAAAATTATCCTGCAGCTTTTTTTTTCTGCCCAGGAATGAGGGTCCTGAGGCCACAGCGTCAGGGATGGAACCACAGCCTTAAAGCCCTGAACTGTCTCTCCAGCTGGTAACATGGCATGAGAGGAGTTCGGATCCTAGAGCACATGCCTGGCCTGGCAGAGCCCCCAGTCTGATCCTCAGCGCCAGAGGGACCCCACCCAACACCAGTGGGTTTGGCCCCTATTTTAAATAACATATTCAGATCGTCAGTTGACTTCAACACTGAATGGGACTCAAGGTCAAAGTTCTCCAGCACAGGACAGTAAGCCGTTTATAACGAGAGCGGAGTGGAGCACAGGGCAGAAATTAAAGTTTTATTTATGACCAGGTAACATAGAGGAATTGTTTTCATGCGTCAGAAAGGAAAAAGAAAACAAGGTCTCAAGCAGGTCTGTGGCTTCCCGCTGCCCGCACACCCATCCTCAGCTTTCTCTAGCTGTGGGAAGCCCCGGTGCCCCAGTGTGCTACAAGGTGCTACAGCAGTACAGGCCCAAAGACCGCCAACCCCTGGAGCCGCCTGAGGCGTGGTGGGTCCTTCCGGGCGGGGCCTGCCTCCCACTGTGCATCCCCCCTGCTGTGGGTCGGGGAAGGGCTGAGGTAGGACGAGGCTGGCAAGTGCGCGACGAGGGAAAGCCTGGTCCTGCGCCCCACTTCATGGCCCGCTCCACGCCCTCCGGTGCCAGGAAAAGGCCTCCGGGAGGTCACACTCCAGGGCGACTGGCGGGGTCTTTGGAGGGGGAGCTGCGAAGAGGCCGGGGCTGCAAGACCCGGCCACAGTCCTGTCTGGAGACTCATTCAACAGCAAACACTCAAAATGGTCCCTACCGTAACAGGTTTCCACAGACACCGTAAAACATGTCTTATTTTCTTTGGCAACTACTGTTGCTTAGACAGTCTTCACCTGCTTCGTCAGGAAGCCCTGTGAGGGGTGTCCGCGGGACAGGAAGCGCAGCGCCCTCCCCGTGGTGGTCCTGAGGTAGCAGTGCATGAGTCCGCACGGGGCGTACCTGAAGTGTGCGCGCAGCCTCCCCAGTGCAGCCCGCACGGGGACGCTCCTGCCCGGCCCAAGGGCCACAGCACACAGGGCTCTTTGGGGGTCTGTGATGTCTAACGGAGATCCCGTGGGGAGTTCTCGGAACATTCCTCATCGTTGGGTGTGGCACTGCGGTTACAGAAGGCTGGTTTTTCAAGTGGCAGGTTTTATTGGTAGATTCGGGGATTTCAAGACCCTCCAGCGTCATCTGTTTGAGGAAATGAGACGCAGGCATTAAACTTAGCAGCCCGGAAGCATCGAGACAGGTCTCTAGTGCAGAAAGCAGTCGGGGTTCCTTCCGGGCCCAGGGCTGAAGGCGCATCTGTGTGGAAAGAGCGGCCACGGCCTAGAACCTGTTCTTAGTGGGGCGCCATCCGCAGGACGGAAGCACGGGAAGGATGAAAGCTGGGGAGCGGGGGCTGCAGCCAGGGGAATGCCATGGAAACTCCGCAGTGCAGGCCGCCCGGGCCTGTCCCCTGTGGTCTCAGAGGCAGCTGCAGAGCCCCGGGGAGGCAGCGTCTGCAGGACAGGCCCCGTCTGGAGGCAATGAGGTGCAGTTTTCCCCAGCAGACACCCCTCCCGGGCTAGGGTTAGGTCCCCAAAGCGGACAACCCCAGGGCAAGATTGGCTGTGGCGCCTTCTCCGCACGCCACCCAGTGACCCCAGGCAGCAGCAATGCCCCGTCCCCACAGGCTGTCCCCCCACCAGCAGCACTGCTCCAGACCACTGCCACCTGGGAGCCTCTGCAGGGACCAGGGAAAGCCAAGCAGCCTGTCCCAGGCCGGCCGGCGTCAGGAGCATCTCTGGGGGTTGCCCCCCGGCACTGGTTAGTTCAGTGCCCCCTTGCTCGGCTCCTTCTGCGGGCGCCTCTCGGGACAGAGGAGGGGCCACACCCCCGTTCCTCCGCCAAGGACCCCGACAGCAAACCCACCACCACGCCACCCCACAAGAACAGCAGGAGGCAGGGAGGGAGGCTCAGTCCCCGGCCCCACCGGCATGGCCCAAAGAAAGCGAGCACAGTACCCGGAGCTGACTGCCGGGCCTTCTTGGAGCCTTCCACGCCGTTCTCCTCAGACTTCCTCTTTGCGCAGTCCTGACAGGCGTTACCTGAGAGAGGAAACGCGCTGACTCAGATCCCTCCAGGCCCAGATGCCCAGCGGGACCTCACTTGGCACGGGCTGACCGCCACGGGGAGCCTGACTGGCAGGTTCCCGCCTCCCCTCATGGGGGTCTGAAGTGGGGCGTGAAGTGCTACGACGCTCCCCACCTGAGGCCCCCAACAGGCACCCCAGGTGCCCCCACCCGGGCCCTGCTGATCCCGCCGCTGCCCAGAGAGGAGAGATGCAGTGGTGGGTGGCGAGCAGGCGGCCCTGGGCAGGGTCCCAGGAGGGGCAAAGGGGAGCCAACCTCCCTGCCGGGCTCCCATTGGCACAGGCACCCGTTCAGATGGGGGCGGAGAGGGAGACGGGGGAAGGCAGGAGGCGCTTTACCCAGCAACGTGGTGCTGTCCACTCGATCGGCATCTGGGGAAGAAAGAAATGATGAGAGGCGGGCGGGCAGGCAGGGAGGCTGCTGGGGCCCTCGGCGGGGAAGGACACAGGCTGCGCTCTGGGTGGCCACCTCGTGGATCAAGGGCACACGTCCTTAAGGACACCCTCCTAGGAAAGTGCCAGAGGTGTCTCGGCCCTGGGCCCGGCTGTCACAGAGACAGCCCGAGCGCCCGGTCCCGGTCCCCTGACAGCAGTGCGTGTGGCGGCCAGAGAGCAACACTGGGAGCGAGATGAGGGGTCCGGCCCCTTGCTCGAGACCCCAACTGCAGGTCCAGACCCCGAATACTGGCAGGTGTGACCCCTGGGCACTGCTGGGGTGGCCCAACCATCAGTAAAAACACAAAAAGGAGGCAAAGTCACAGCAGTGTGGAGGTAAGCCAAGTGCCCTGCTCCTGTCTCTCGGGGGACAGTGCCACCCGCACCCCACATTTCTGGCTGGAAAGGCACCTAGTAGGTGAGGCCGGGCTCAGCCGTGCACTCAGCTATGCGTGACCTTGTTCTTCTCATGTTCAAGGTCCAAGCCGGCCCTGCCCTGCGGTTTCCCATTACAGTGAAATGAGAGTTGATAGAGCTTTCAAGGGTGCCGGCATCCATGTTTTATGGTGCCCGACTTGGCCCGGGGCCCGGACGCTCCCTCCGTGCTCATTCTGCAGGAGCGCTCCCCAGAAGATCGATCCCCAGGAGCCCCTGACCCGCACAAGAAGCCCGCCCACCAGTACACTGACAGTGAGGAAGAAATCTTGAACCTGGAGGGCCACGGCGATAGTACAGGGGCCAGGGTGCTGGCCTCACACGCGATCAAACTGGCACCCCGTAGGGTCCCCCGAGCCCCAGCAGGAGTGATTCCTGAGTTCGGGAGTCAGCCCTGAGCCCAGCCGGGTGTAGCGCCAAAACAAAACAAACATCTCAAACCTGGACTCCGCTGCCTGCAGATCTGAGTGGCCAGGTCCTGCACGTAGCCCGGGAAATAGTCGAAACAGTCCCCGTAGGACACGACTTTGATGCCATGCAGGAGCATGTCCGCCTGGTGCTTGAAGAAGTGGTCCTCGTCCTCCTTGAGCACCAGCATGTAGTGCTCCAGGTCCACCTTGTCGGGCACCGAGTAGAGGAAGAGCGCCTGGAAGATCTGGTCGCGGAGCGTCTCCCCGCAGCCCACGAACAGGAAGGACTTGGTGCGGTACAGGCCCTGCAGGACCTCCTGCAAAGGCACCACAGCGCTGCCGCCAACCCGCCCACGGAATGCGAGAACCTGCCCCGTCCCCCGCCCCGGAAGCAGCACCCCCAAAATGAGCATCCTGCTCTCGGGACCCCTGATGGGAGAGGAGCAGGGGAAGCAAAGGCTCCCTATCACCCGGCAGGCCGCCCACTCAGACCCCCCCACGCTGGGGCGCTTCCAAGAGGAAGACACGGAGACAAGCACACGGGGCCACACAGGCCCTGCCTGAGCGGGCACTGCTGTCCTCCCTGGCCTCACAGGGTCTCCGGGGACCGGAAGCTCAGCATCCCTACATGGGATGAGCTGCCAGGTGGTCTGGACATGCTCAAACTTCTTCCCCCTTAAATCAAGGGTAATAACATTCCTGGGCGCAGACGCCAGGGGCCAGCCTGCTGCCAGCAGGAACATTCTCGCCCCAGCAGAAGGAGGCGCGACCCCCACTGCGCGCTTCCGGCTCCTGGCTTCCAGCCAAGACCTCGAGTGCTTCGAAGATTCTCGCCTGTTCTGTATCGAAATTCTCGAGGAATTTCTGTACTATCTGCATGTTGCTCTTCCTCGGCCTTTGTTCCTACGGCCGAGGAAAGCTGCGTGTGATATGAAGAGAGAACAGTGAAAGCAAGGTTTTCCTCGAAAGCCTGATCTTCCCATTTTTTAAATAAGCGTGATAAATACTGAAAGGAGTGGGGAAGGGAGGGTTTGCGACGGGCCCCAGAGTTCCAGCCAGGCTCCTGGCCAGCTGGCAGTGTGTGTGGCCGGCAAGCCACCCCCGCAGTGGCGCCAACTCACCTGGGGTCACCTGTGCTTACAGTCGTCTGGCATAGTGTTGAGTTCAGGCGTTTTGCTTTTCAGTGGGAGCTTTGTTTGTTTTTGGGCTACACTCAGGGCGCAGGGCTTATTCCTGGCTCTGCACCCAAGAGATCATTCCTGGCCGGCTCGGGGGGGACATGGAATGCGGAGGATCAAGCCTGGGTCAGCCACGTGCAAGGAAGCACCCTCCCCGCTGTACTGTCTCCCTGGTCCCAGGAACTTATACTTTTAAGTGGTCACAAACAGAGGGGGTGGGAGAGGGAAAGGGGGAGGGCAGGGGCGTGGGGGAGAGGGAGGGAGCAGCAGAGAGAGAGGAGGGAGAAGGAGAGGGAGAGCAGCATGGCCTAAGACCACCCACAGACATGGGCCTCAGTGGGGAAGCCTCGGACGTGCCTTTGAAAGCCCAAGCAACAGAAAAGGAGAGTACAGGGCACTGACTCGTCTGCCTGGCATGCCTGTGGCCGACCCGGGTTCAATCTGCAGGATCCCATTCAGTCCCCCAGCACTGCCAGGGGGATCCCTGAAGTTCAGGGCCAGGAGTGAGCAGAGGACATGCCAGGTGTGGCCAAACACTCCCAGACACAAAATGGGGAATTAAAATCAGGCAATCAGGTTTCCCTGAGCAGCTGCCGTCTGAGACAGACCCCGGCCGTGCGGTCCCCAGAGACGCTGTGCGCAGAGGAAGGCCTCCTTACCATGACTTCTGGGTCTTGAGTTACATCTTTGTAGCCCGAGGGATCCAAGACCAAGCCGCAGGGGTCCGTGTACAAGCCGTGGATGTGAAGAACTCCATAGCGGACGTGCCCGCGTGCCCACTGCAGGACCTAGAGAGGCGGGGTGGGGCGAACCCAGTGCCACTCAGCACAGATGTGCAGCACACCTAACCAGAGCCCGTGGCCCTGCCCACGGATGCCCTCTGTGCTTGGCAAGGACGCGGCTCAGCGCTCAGGGTGGGTAATGTGAATGCGAAGCCCAGGGTCACCCCACACCACCTGGTCCGGCAAAAAAACTTTCATTTTCTAATTTTCTTGAGGGGCGCCAGGGATGACACACCAGCTCTGCGCAGGGCTTACTCCTGGCTCTGCTCGGGGATCACCTCCAGCTGTACTCGGGACCGTATGTGAGGCCCAGGGTTAGACCCAGGCCAGCAGCTTTTGCAAGGCCAGCGCCTTGGCTACTATTTTATCATTCCCAACCTCCGCAAAATTATTTTCAATCCTAAGAGAAGCTCGGCTCCTGGCACTGATTCCTCTGTGATGTCATGTCTAAACGACTCCTTTAAAGAGTCATTTAGGGGCCAGTGATAGTACAGCGGGAAGGGCATCTGCCTTGGACGTGACCAACCTGGGTTCCATCCCCGGAACCCATAGGGTCCCCCCACCTCCCTGCCTGCCCCCATCAAAGATTTCGGATGAAGGAGCCAGGGAGACAGGCTGGGAGCTCCAAGGGCACCCCCAGGCACTCCCGAGCACCGCGGCTAGCGCCCAATTCCTAGCCCCAGCGGTCGGTTTCCCTTTCTCTCCTGTCCATCACCCACCCGGCCCCGTTTCCTACCCCACGGAACAGAGGTGGGGTCTCTTGTCCATCCGCAGGCAGGACGCACAACAGGGAGCAGAAGCCCCAAGAGCACAGGGGTCCCCCTGGACCCCGCGCAGCCCTGGCCCCCGTGCTGGAGACTGGGCTCGAGTTCCAGCAGACGGCGGGGGGAAGGCTGGCTGGGCCGGGACACACCTTGGTCTTGTCCTTGAGGTCCAGGGACTGCATGGGCCGGTTCTGCTGCTGCCCGAAGAGCTCCAGCAGGTTGTCGTAGTTGGTGGTGAGCACCAGCGTGCCGCGCTCCATCAGGCTCAGGATGGACTGCAGCACCAGCGGGTTCTGGATGTGCTGCTCGAGGCTGTCGAACACCTCCATCAGGCAGTCCTGGAAGAAGTTGGGCTTGGTGTCGCCCGTGCGCTGGGAGGGACAGAAGGACAGACATCCTCTCAGCGACTGCGAGCCTCCGCACGGGCACGAAAGGCCCCAGCCCCGGGGAGAGGAGTGGATGCAGAGGCAAGTGGGCAGACGGCGGCACAGTGCAGGACAGCTGTGCAGGGCAGCATGGCGGGCCTGCCGGGAGGGCGCAGGTGCAGCCGGGCTGGGCCTTCCCGCTGCGACGGGCCTGGGATTCCCCTGCTGGGGGTCGGGAATGTGCCAACACGCGTCGCGTCAGGTGAAAGTGGCGGGTCCCCAACTCCACAGCACCACGGCCCCGCACCAAAGGACAATGGACTGAGTGACCCCGTCACAGTTTGGCCAGAGGGTGCCCACTGGCAATAGCCCTGCAGACCGTCCCTCTTGGCTGCCCTCCCTGAAGCAGCTCTGGGCCTCACCCCTGCCCACTGGAATCACTGGGTTTCCAGAGCGGACACGAAACAACCGGTGTGGCCAAGACCAGCTTCCACAGGCGGGCCCCTGACCTCACCTTCTCCAGAGCCACCGTGTCCCCGCTGAGCCCCGCATGCCATTGGGAAAGACTCACAGGGGACATCTTCCGGATGAGGTCGTGGGCCACCACCAGCAGGTCCCGGTCCTTGGTCACCTTCCTGCGGAACTCGGCGATGTCCCCGGGGTGCAGCACCTCCAGCTGCTCTGCCGCCTCGATGACCGCCTCAATGCAGCTGCGCCAGGAGCACAGGGCGGGGATCCCAGGGGCCACTGCCGCGCTCACTCCCGTCCCGATGACCAGAAGCAGCTCCTGGGGCTGCTTCCGAATGAGGCTTTTTAAAAACTTTCTACTTAAAGACAAGAAGGCAGAGGCTGGGCGTTACCAGAGAAGCCGCAGCCTGCAGTGTCGGGGCCGCCCCACCTCCCACCCACCCCTCCTGCTCTCCAGGAGAGAAAGCCAGAGGCCGAGTCCTGTCTGGCTGTGACCGGACTGGCGTGCCACCCGTGACAGCCTCAGAACCCGCATTAGACACTGCCTCCTGGGCAGACAGCAAGGGGAGGCACTGGCCTCACATGCAGGCAGCCCCAGTTTGGCCCCCACGCGCCATCTCCGCTTACCCCCGAGCACTGATCCAGGAGCAGCCCAAGCAGTGCTGAGTATGTGGTGACCTCCCCCAACTCCTACCCCACCCCCACAAAAAATAAGCTGCCTCCTGAGGAGATCAAACCCACCTGGGATCACTAGTGAGAATTTTGTGGGGGCTGGTTTGTCTGTTTTGGGGCCACACCCGCGGTATTCAGGGGGTACTCCGGGCCTTGTGCTCAGGGGTCCACAAGGGTGTGAGACAAGCCCCTTAGCCACAGTACTCACTCCCACCCCAGAAATTAAACTATTAAGCGTTCTGAAACCAAGAATGGGGTTTGGTTCTGTTTTTCACCTTTTCTGGTGTGTTTTTGGTGGGTTTTTTTGCTGGGTTTTATTTTTGAGCCACAACTGGAGGTGATCAGGGTATCACAGGGGGTGCCAGGGATTAAACAGAGTCAGCTGTGCATGAAGCAAGTGCCCTACTCATTGTACTAGCTCACTCCCTACCCCATTCTTTTTCTTTGATTGTTTCTGAAAACAGGACTTAAGAACAATAGTTCACGACTATGAATCAAATAGATCATGCAAAAACCAAAAATGTCAATGATTTCAGTTCCTCTGGAGCTGTAGATTACTTGTCAACCCAATGGCCCTTTACAGTGCTAAGTCTTACAAATGGTTTTCTGCACTAACAACCGGACCCACTGATGAGTCCTCCTGTGTTCCACTTTCTAACAAGTAAAGCCTCATCCACTTGTGAGCTAAGTATTTCTTCCTGGCCCCGAGTGGGAGCCACTCCCCCCTCCCCCCCAACAATCAGGCACGGTCAAATCCCTGGGCAGAAAAAGAACAACGCAGGAGGCTGGTGAGAGGCTGGGGCCTGCCCGGATGTGCACGGACTCCATTTACCTTGATTTCTGTTCGCTTCGATTTGCTGTCTTTTCCACAGAATCCATCTGGGAATCCTAAAGAGAAAAATCAATCAGAAGTGACTTATTTTGCCTTGTTACAAATTCTTCCATTAGTATCCTGAAGAATAAAAGGGTTGATTTCAAAGCAAAACAAACTCTTTATTTAAGAAATAGATCATATAAAAAATCCACACAAAGTGACTATCAGTAACTGTGTGCATGATCCCCTGGAGAGAGGGCAGGAAGGAGGCTACACCAAACTCGATTCCGGAGGTGCTGGGCCATGGACACAATGACTCAATGCAAAAGCCAGGCACAGAGCTTCGGGGCAGTCTGCTGCTCTCGGGGGACACCGGGTGCTGTGGGACGGGCCCAGTGAGGCACCTGGTCCCCCCTCGTGCAGACTGAAACCCAGTGCAGAGAAACGAGAGTCCACTCTGGGCTGACCCAGGAAAGGAATCAAACCACGGAGGTCTTTATTGCCAAACCGCCTCCAGACCCTGTTTTCCAGGACACGCCCACCCAGTTCTGACTGGGCTAAGATTACACAACGGTCAGATACAGCAAGTTTTTAAATCCTATAATCTCACTACCTAGAAGCAGCAACTGTTTGCATTTGCATATTAGCCTCTAGACACTTAAAAACATTTTCTAGACAAGATTCACAACTCTAAGTTCATAGCTGGGGATCAGGGCTGTGGCTCGGGGGCAGAGCACTTAACTTGCACTTGTGAGGCCCTGGGTTCGATCCCCAGCATCATAGGTGGGGCTACGTCTTATCTACACCAAGTGCAGACCCTTACCACCACAATGACGACTGACTCTGTGCACAAAGTTTTTTATCTGGCTTGAAATGATTCAGGAGGGCACCAGAGCAATAGCACAGTGGGTGGGGCGTTTGCCTTGCACGTGGGTCGACCCAAGTTCCATCCCCCACATCCCAAAGGGTCCACCGAGCACCGCCAGGAGTAATTCCTGAGTGCAGAGCCAGGAGGAACCCCTGAGCATCACCGAGTGTGACCCATAAAGCCAATATAATCTTTAAAAAAAAAATTATTCAGGAGAAATGTCTGAGAACAGCTGAGCTATGAAACCAGACTATCGATCCGCAAACAATCCAGCCTCCCAGCTTGTGGGCAGGGTACCCAGGAAGTTCCCATTTGACCGGCACTCAGGGAGAACCACCTGTTCAGGGCTGGCCACCTTTTAGGGGTGTTATCTTTTTGTTTCCAACTAGAATCAGGTCACCAAGAATGACTTCCCCGGGTAACTCAGTCAATAAGCACCACCAGGATTTGTCTGTCCTTAATCTTAGGCAAGGTGACTTACAAGCTTGGTGACAGCAGGGCTTGATGCATAAACCATCCCACAAGGCTCCCTGCACCTGGTCCCAGAGCTGTGCCCTGTCTCTGCTGCCTCAGCTTTTGGGTCAGCGCTGTTAGGTTTCACAGGGAAAAGACGCCCAGAGAAACAAACCTTGGGCACCCAAGCACAGCGGTCTAAGTGCCTGCCCCACTGGCCAAGGGGGACGGGGTTCAGAGCTCCCACCAAAGTGAAGGGGGGGGCTGCAGAAATGGCTCAGCAAGCTGACCGGCAGACAGGAGGCCTCGGTTCATCCCAAGCACTGCCTCAAGTGACCCTCAAGAACAAGTTAGGGGGAGGGCGTTTGCTTTGCACACGGCCGACCCGGGTTCGATTCCCAGCATCCCATATGGTCCCCTGAGCACCGCCAGGGGTAAAATCCTGAGTGCATGAGCCAGGAGTAACCCCTGTGCAAAGCTGGGTGTGACCCAAAAAAGAAAAAAAAAAGAACAAGCTAGGAGTAGCCCCTGAGCACTTCCGGGGGGGCGGGGGGAGAACCCAGGGTCCAGGCTAGGACACTGAGGGCCAGAGATTGCCGGAAGCTGGCGGAAGGGAAAGGCAGGTCACTCCAACACGCCTCCCTTCCTATGCAAATACAGTCAACAAATAGTTCTGCTATTTGCAACCTACCAGCTGTTTCCTGGTGGAATAGTCAATACTGGGGTTTCCCACTGCATCTACACTCCTGAGCAACTCTGGACTTGCTCTGGGATTTCAGTGGCTGACTTCAGCATTCCCAGTCCACAGCTCATCGGCCAGACCCAGGAACGCTTGCGAATGAGCGGCGGGGAAAGCTCTGAGGTCTCTCCCATGCAAGGAAGGCTGGGAGTTAGTCAGCGACCAGCTCAGGCTCGGACCCATCCTGGGGTGCCCAACTCCCTTTCCCAACCCCCCACCGCAGCATCACCACAGAAAGTCACACCTCCGCTCCCGGGTAAGCTGCCCCAGGGAACCCCCAGCCTCTGAACAGCCTCCCAGGATAACGGGGAGAGAAGGCTTTCATCCCTTCAGCAAGACAACACTGAGGGGCTGGGGGTGGGAGGTGTCGCAGGCCACCCCGGCGTTACTCAGAGCAGCACTGGGGGTCTCAGGGCTCAGTGCTCACGCCCCGCAGGCTGGGGGACACCAGGGCCACTGCGGCAGAGCTGCGGACCCAACTCAGGCCAAGCATGCGGCCCTGAGCAGCCCCGTGGCCCCCTGGAGTATTCTCCAGCCAGTCCCTCTCAGGCCAGGAACAGTGCAGAGCTGACACATCCTGCAGCTTCCCCTGCCCCACACGGCCCAGAGCCCCTGCAGAGGAAGCTCCCAAGAGCCCCGGGGCACCACCCACTCACATGCCCACACTTGCTGCCTCAGTAAAGCACTTTTTTCCAGCACCTTGTACAGACAATTAGAGCTACAATGAAAAATCAAAATATTCCATCCACGGGGCTGGCGAGAGTGACCCCAAAGACAATATATCCCATTCATATATCCTCTCAAAAACGAGACCAAATTAAATTTCTGTAAGCGGTGCTTACCCCTAAAATGAAACCATTCCCAAGTTTTCTGAAGGACAGGTTTTCAGTAAAGCACAGACCACTGACGGGACATGAGAGAGTTCCCGAGAGTCGGTCTCAAGCCCGGAGCCATCCCTCACTCCGCGGTCAGGCAGCAGGACACTCCGAGAGGCGCCTCCAGACCACAGGCCGGGGTCCCAATCACCCCGCACCCCAGCATGCCGAGTCTGTACAGAGCTGCCCATATTTAGACATTCACAGCCCATTCGGCTCGCATTACCTCATTTCCTGTTCCTCAGGCAACAACACAAGCATCAGCGCCAAACCTCAGAGGACAGACACAAGTACCCAGTCTTCCCACTGCCACGCCAGGGAGCAGCAGAGAAGCTCGGTGAGAAAGCGAAACCTCTGGTGGCCCGGATCCCCCGAACCTTTCTTCCGAGCCAATCAGAGTGCAGGCAGCAGGAACGGAAGCCCGCAGGGACCTGCGAAGCTGTGTCCCCGCGTTTCCTTGGTGATCCAGGCGTCACCACAGTCCGCAGGCCCCGAGCCAAGTCCTCGTAGCAACCGAGCAGCGTTTTCTGAACGGCAACGCAGGCCCCAACACAGGTACGCGTGAGCAGTGCATCTACAGCAAGCATCAGTCTCAACAGGCGTTCTGAAGATTCGAGACCTCAGGCTGGGGACAGCTCACAGGGCTGGAGCGTGCGCCGGGGAAGCAGAAGCCTGGCTGAGGGCCTGCAGAGCGGTGCGCCCCAGCCGCACACCGGGGTATACCACCACCCCACCCCCGCCCAGTTTCCAGATCATGAGTATTTTATGAACTGCATCAGGGCAGTCACCCTGCCTTACTCTTTCCAGCCCCAGCATCCAGTACAGAACAAATGCTCACAAGCTGAGATTAACAGAGGAGAGAGCAAGCTTCAAACTTGTCACAGGGTCAGAACTACAGGGCAGCGGGGAAGGCTCCAGGAATGGCCCCCAAACAAGCAAAAACCAAAACAAACAAAAAGCCCCCAACTTAATTAGCCATGACTGGTAAAACAAAGCCCCCAGTTCCCTCATCCCATGGTCCCAGATTATCGCTGCCCCTCCCCAAGCCTTTCTCCCGTACTTAATGCCCGATTCACTGACTCTGGGTGGGACCTGACTTCCTGCCTACCAGCACCTGGGCCAGAGCATGATCAACACTCTGACAAAGCTACCCTCTAGGAAGTCACCCTCGTAAAACCCAGCTGAGTGCCCCAGGGGGGCGCCCAGGCACACCCACTCTGCAGGAGACACCAGCTGGGTCCTGCAGGCAGTTTCAACACTACTCAGGACCAGCACTGCGCCTTACACACAAGAGGGTGGGAAGGAATAAAGATCATGGTGGGGGCTGGAGTGATGGCACAGCACAGCGGGTCGGGCACGTGGCCAACCCGGGTTCGATTCCCAGCATCCCATAGGGTCCCCCGAGCACTGCCAGGAGTCATTCCTGAGTGCAGAGCCAGGAACAGCCCCTGAGCATCGCTGGGTGTGACCCAAAAAGGAAAAAAAAAAAAAAGATCATGGTGAAAAGAAAAGAGAAGAAGGAACAGACCGATTGTGGGGCCCAGAATCCGGAATAATGGAGCCCAGATGGAATGCTGCCCTCCTAGAATTTCCCCTTAATTTCCCCTTTACATCTGTGTTTATATTTAACCAACACCCTCAGGTATGTAAAAGTCTAACCCAACTAAAGAATGCTCCCCTGCTGCTTACTGCTTCTAAATAATAAACACTGCAAGCTGAGGACAGGGTGTGCGCCCCCGGGCCCCATGTTTTCTCTTATTTCTGTCTCTATTTCTGTCTCTTCTTAATTCTCAGGGTGCCCCTGCTTCAGGCCTGTTTGCCCAGGGCTGTGTGACCCACCACACCGGCAACGAGTGCAAGAATTCATAAAGACAGGGCAATGGGGAAGAGAAACTGTCAAGACTGTCTTTATTAAAGTAACGTAGTAAGAGTTGTAACTAGTTGGGGCTGGAGCAATAGCACGCAGGCAGGGCGTTTGCCTTGCACTCGGCCAACCCGGGTTCGATTCCCAACATCCCACAGGGTCCCCTGAGCACCGCCAGGGGTCATTCCTGAGTGCAGAGCCAGGAGGGACCCCTGTGCATCGCCAGGCGTGACCCAAAAAGCCAAAAAAAAAAAAAGTTGTGACTAGTTTCTGTTATAAACTATACCTTCACTGATCAAGTGAAAACCAAACCGAGAAGTTTCAAGTCTTTAAGGGCTTCAAAACTCTCCTTAAAAGGGCTAGAGGAAACGGGATAAGACACTTGCCTTGCACGTGACCAACCCTGTTTTGATCCCCGGCATCCCATAAGGTCTCCCGAGCACTACCAAGAAAGAGTGATTCCTCGGTGCAGAGGCGGGAGTCACCCCTGAGCACCGCCGGGTGTGGCCCAGAGGCAAAAACGATGATGCCCGAGAACTGGTGGGGAGAGCACTGTGCCTGCAGGGGGCTGGATGGTGCCAAGGCCTGGCTCGGGGCTATCCCGCACTCTGCTTGCTGCGTACAGACCCACCACACCAAGAAGCCCCCGACCCAGCTCCTCCTCATCCGAGCAGCGCGGCCTGAGCAAGCCCTTCCCAGCAGGATTCTTACTGAGAGCCTGGGGCCTAAGGCTTGCGACCCCACATCCTGGTCCAGGCTGGTTCCTTCTCTCCCTCTACTCATTTCACTCTCACAAATTGCCCATTGCTGGGGGCGGGGGGGGGGAGGGGCAGACAATGGAAGCAGACGTCAGCGGGCGAGTTTTCAGGTGCCTCTGGTATCACCCTTGCAGCTGTACGCATGGAGATGATTTCCCGCCGGTCTGACCAGCCTGCCCAGTTCACTGTGTTGGAAACAGCGCATGAACGGACAAAAGTGAAGCGTCCAGCCCTGCCTCGGAAACAGGGCCCCACACCGCAGCAATCCGTCCCACCCCATCTCACGCCCGGCCCTGCAAGGCTCTTGTGAAGATGTCCTGTGACTCGGACCCCCGACCGGCTGTGTGCAGGCCCTGACCATGAGCGCATGGATACATGCACGCGTGCACATGCATATGTACGTGCAGGCACACCCCACCACCACCCCCATTTCCCAGTGTTCGTGCCTTGACCAAAGCGAGAGAATGGAGCACTTTATGTGGCGCTGATTCTGCAGCTGCCCCTAAAAGGGGCGATCCGTATAACTCTCACCTGGCCCCGGCCGGCCGGTAGCGAGCCCTTGGAAGAGGCCGGTCACCACGGCAACACCAGAGCAGCCCAGAGACGCGGCTAAATATACCAGCCGCTTGAGGAGGACGCCCGCCAGCCAATGCGGTGTTTGCTCCTTTACGGTTTGTCCGCCAGATGTGTGACACGTGGCAGAGCAGAACCCAAACAAGTCTGAGTTCCGGGACGACAGGCCGGTAAGAGGGAACTGCACCGGGACAGCAGCCGGAGACACGCGAGACACCACTCGGCCTCATCCCCTCAGGAGTAAGACATGGTCTGCAAAGTCAGCCCGCAGCGGAACAGAATCTAGGACACGGGAGCTGGAGGTGGCCTGGAAGGTTCCGGGCCACCGGATCCCCTGACGCCTCTCTGAGACCGAGAGAGAGGAGCGGAGCCGCGCCGCGGTCAAGGTTCCCCGGGAGGAGCGGCTATGAACCCCCTCCCGGACCAAAACCGGCATCCTGCCTCCCTCCTCGCTCCCAAGCTCCTTCCTCGGGCCGCAGACCTTCCGCTCACCGGCTTCCCACCCCACTCACTGTCTGCAAGCCTCGGGGAGATTTCAGGGTCAGCGCCCCCGGAAGACGCTGCCGGCAAAACAACCAGCTCACAACGGCGTCCGTCTGGGTCTCTCCAGGCTTATCACAGTCGGTCAACTTTAGCAGGGCAGATAAGGAGGGGCGAGGGGCCGGGAGGAGCGCCCAGCCCGGCCCGCGGCAGGTTGAGGGAAGGAAGTCGGTCCCGGAGCGCCACGGCCCTGCCTCGGAAATAACTGGGAGGTACTGAGCGCCCTGCTCCCGCGGCGCCTCCCAAGCCTCTGTCCTCCAGAGCAGCGTCTGCCTCGGACAGCTGCAGGGTCATTCCGAAGAACGGGGCAGGGCCGAGGAAAGCCCAGCGGGCGGGCGGGGCGCCCGAGCAGGAGCCTCGAGGCTCCTCGGGCTAAGCCCTGAGCGCCACCGGGTGCGGCCCCCAGACCAGCCAAAAACAAACAAACTAAACCTCAGAGAGCAGCGCAGGGGGCTGGAGCCATAGTACAGTGGATGGGGGCCGGGGGGCGTTTGCCTTGCACGCGGCCCGGCCCGGGTTCGATCCCCGGCATCCCATAGGGTCCCCGGAGCACCGCCAGGAGGGATTCCTGAGTGCATGAACCAGGAGGAACCCCTGAGCATCGCTGGATGTGACCCAAAAGAAAAAAAAATGGGGGGGGGGGGAGAGAGTTGAACTCTGGGAATGGTTTGAAATAAAACACAATAAGGGTCCGGAGCAACAGTCCAGCGGGGAGGGCGTTTCCCTTGCACACGGCCGACCCGGGTTCGATTCCCAGCATCCCATAGGGTCCCCCAAGCACTGCCGGGGGTAATTCCTGAGTGCGAGTCAGGAGGAACCTCTGAGCATCGCCGGGTGGGACCCAAAAAGCAAAAAAAAAAAAAAAAAAAAAGTAGACTTCACGAGGCTGGGGCGATAGCACGGTGGGGAGAAGTTTGCCTTGCACACGGCCGACCCGGGTTCGATTCCCAGCATCCCATATATGGTCCCCTGAGCACCGCCAGGGGTGATTCCTGAGTGGGCAGAGCCAGGAGGAACCCCTGGGCATCTCCCCCCCAAAAAGAGAGAAGGCTTCAGACCACATGGGCACCACGTGGCGGGCCTCCGTGACAGGGAGTCAGGGAAGGGTTGGGAGAGGAGAGCGAGCCCCAAGGGTCCGAGGCCGCCGGGATGAGCGGAACAACCCTGAGCGCCTCCAAACTAAATACCGTCGGGGCTGGAGCAAGGGCACAGCGGGGAGAGCGTCTGGCTGGCACGCGGCCGACCCGGGTTCGACTCCCAGCATCCCATAGGGTCCCCCGAGCACTGCCAGGAGTGACCCCTGAGCATCGCCGGGTGGGACCCAAAAAAGAAAAGAAAACAAAAACACAAAACATCGTGGCACGAATGCAGCATCCCGCTGTCCTGCCACGCGGGCAGAACTGGGCAGCAGAGCCAGGCCCGGGCACTGGCACGTGGGATGGGCAAGGGCAGCTCCCCCGAAAGCGACAGTCCTGGGGGCGCGGGGGGAGGGGCCGTCGGAGCTGGACCACCGCCCCGGCCACTTGCCCTCCCGGGAAGTCGCTCTCCGAAGCGGCGTCAG